TATTGTCACTTTTAATTTTGACATGTGACTTAAACATAGTCTTGGATTTTCTAAATCTTCTACCAAGTAAAGTAACCTACATTCATGAACCTCAACACACAAAAGGGTTGTCAGTCCAGTTGCCGGTATTTCATGGCAAACAAGATGAAAATGTTATGACTTGGTTACTCCAAGTTGATTTACTGTATAAGGCGCGCAAGATTGAAAATGAAGAACGCTTACAATATATAATAACTGGATTAAAGGATGCGGCGCTTCAGTGGTATCTCAATAAAGTTCAAGCTTATACCGACCAGACGCTATTTGAAAGTTGGAAGGATTTTTCTAAAGAAATAAAACTGGCGTTTCAACCTCCACAACATCAACAATATTTGAGGTGACAATTAAGAAACATAAAACAAACCTCGACAGTGCAAGAATACGCCTCAAGGTTCAGAAACATTCTTGGTCAAGTGGAAAGTATGGACGAAGCCGATAAGATCCTCTATTTTACGGAAGGGTTAAAAGCAGCCACCAAAGCTGAAGTTAGTTATCGGTCGCCGGAAAATTTGGAGGAAGCAATTCGCTTGGCGACGACGTACGATACGGCGATGTATGGTGTTGGGCACCAAGTCTATGGAGAACTTAAAAGTAATGCTCCAAAAACAGGTGATTCGGGGAATATGGGTCCGGCCCCGATGGAACTTGACAGAACTGAAACAAAAAAATTTAAAGGAAATAAAAATAAATTTATCAAAAATACAAGACATATAAAGAAAAAGGAGTTTAGGCAAAAAGGCTTATGCTTTAAATATGGACAAAAAGAGCACATAGCCAAAACATGTCCTAATAATGCCAATCTGAACCCTGAACCTTCAACAAGCTCAAACACTAACGTTGAACAAGTCAGTTCAATAGAACCAGAATCCGGAAATGAAAAGAAGGAAAGACTCTTACGAGTTAAAGGGAGGATTTGTGAAAAGGAAGCTCTTATCTTAATAGATTCGGGAGCGTCCAAAGATTTTATTAACTCTCAATTTGTGGATACACATCACTTATTGGTTAACGAAGGCTCTGAAGAAAGTATGGTGGAACTGGCCGATGGAACACCTTGTCAATCGCGTGGTCACATATCAGGTATAAAAATCCAAATGTATTCTTGGAAAGAAAGTAGATCCCGAATGGAAGTTTTACCATTACAGAAGTATGACACAATTTTGGGAAAACCGTAGTTGTACGATAATAATCCTAGAATTAATTGGAAGACAAATGAAATTTCAATATGGAAACACCAAAAAGCCTATAGAATAAGTGCCAGAGCAAGCGGGAAACAAGTAGAGTCCTCTACAACAACAATTTCACGATTACAATTGGCAAAAGATGCCAAAAATGATGCAGAGTTGTTTGTAGTGATAGCCTCAAACACACCAGAAATACAAAGTAATATGAAACCAGACATTCCTGAATTTTTAAAAGCAGTGGTGGTCAAGTATCAAGACGTTTTCCCGGAAGAATTACTGAATAATTTACCTCCGAGACGAAATGTAGATCATGAAATTCCCCTACAAGAAGGTGTGGCACCCCCATTCGGTCCCATTTATAGATTGTTATTCCACGAGTTGAAAGAATTAAGAAAACAATTAGAGGAGAATATAAAAAAAGGAATAATTTGCCCAAGTTCATCCCCCTACGGAGCCCTAGTACTTTTTGTGGCAAAAAAGGAAGGTTCCCTTCGTATATGCGTGGATTATAGGGCGTTGAATAAAATTACAATTAAAAACTGATACCCTCTTCCTCGTGTGGATGATTTATTGGACCAACTTAATGGTGCTAAAATTTTTAGTAAAATTGATTTGCGCTCCGGGTATCATCAAATACGTATCAAAGATAATGATGTTCCCAAAATGGCATTCCGCATGCGTTATGGTCATTACGAATTCCTTGTAATGCCGTTCGGCTTGACAAACGCACCAGCTTCTTTTATGCGTTTGATGAATGATGTCTTCCGTGACTTTTTAGATAAATTTGTAATAATTTATCTTGATGATATTTTAATTTATAGTAAATCACAGGAAGATCATGTGAAACACGTGAGTCAAGTATTAGAGATACTTCGGAAAAATCAATTATATGGAAAAATTGATAAGTGTGAATTTGGAAAAACTAGCGTAGAATTTTTGGGTCATGTAGTGTCTTCAAAAGGAATTATGCCGGACCCAAAGAAAATAGAAACAATTAAGGCATGGAATGCACCTCAAAATATACATGAGCTTCGCTCATTTTTAGGTTTAGTAAATTATTATCAGAAATTTATACCCTGCAGTTCTAAAATAGCTGCTCCTCTTACAACTCTTTTACATAAAAGTCAACCATATGAATGGGGAGTTGAACAAGATAAAGCATTCAAAGATTTAAAAAACGCACTTGTTAGTGCCTCAGTATTAGCTATACCCGATTCTGAGAAAACATTTATAGTCACAACCGACGCCTCTGACTTTGCTATAGGTGCCGTGTTGAGCCAAGACCAAGGAAATGGTGAACAACCAATAGCATACGAATCAAGAAAAATGACACCTGCTGAAATGAATTACCCCATCCATGAAAAAGAACTTTTGGCAGTAATTCATGCCTTAAAAGTATGGAAGGTTTATTTGGAAGGTCAATCTTTTACTATAATAACGGACCATGCGTCACTTGAATATATAAATACCCAGGCAAAGTTATCGCGCAGGCAAGCCAGATGGGTCGAAACATTACAGTCATATGATTTTAAAATAAAATATAGGCCCGGGAAAACAAATTTAGTTGCTGATGCATTATCCCGGAAGCCAGAAGCCAATGTAATCTCAACAATTAAGGTTAATTCTGAATTTTATGAAACAATTAAAGAAGATTATATAAAAAATGAACATTTGGCACAAATAATTAGAGCATTAACGGATAAAAATGGTGACGATGCTAAGCGTTTGAAACATCAAATACAACGGTATCAGTTGGAGGATAATGGGTTACTTTACTTGGTAGAAGATTTAGAAAATCCAAGACTATGTTTAAGTCACATGTCAAAATTAAAAGTGACAATA